CCCTCCCACCTCCTCGTCCCTGGGGCTCTGAGCACAGCTATGCCGCACAATTTCATTTGCAAACATTTAGCGCGTCTCTCTGCAAATAAGGTCTCTTTTATAAAAACAGGACCACGTACCGTTACACACCTAAAAAATGCACAATTATTCCTTAGTAAGAGGATATTCAGCTAAACCTCCCATTGTTTCACGGGTATTAATTTTTCAAACTTTAACTTCCAAGTTATTTGCAAACAGAACTGGATAAAGTCCACATACTGCGACTGACTGACAGGTCTCTCTCGAATCTCCTCTAATCTACAGATTCCTTATCAGCATCTTTTCCTTCTGACTTGTGGAAACACAGAATTGCCCTTTGGTTCCGCTTTCCCAGTCCCTTCTGTTTAACCCTGCTCTCCGCACAGTGACCAGGAGAGTGTTTCAGCATCGTGCCTGGAACCAGAATGGAGAGGCAGCGAACGGGGGCTCCGGGAGACCTGCCACGCGGGCTGTGGGGGGCCGTGGCAGGGCTGAGCCGCTCCCTGAAAAGCCACATGCTGGCAGCACATTCCATCCTGCACAGGGGGCGCCTGTAACCAGCAGACGGGACGAGAGGGAAAACCAAACCCAGACGCCGCGGCAACAGGCCCACCACGCGGGCCCTGCCAGGGCAGAAACACGCACTAGGCTCACTGCCCAGGGGCCCAGGTCCAGGAACCGTCCCAGCAAGTCCAGGGCTCTCAGCCGGTGCACCTGGCTCAGCAGCACCTGTGGGGAGAGGGGGAGGAAGTGTCACTGGTGGCACCACTCAAGGCCATGCGGGTCCCAGTGGGGACCATGCGTAATGACAACACCCTGCTGTTCCCAGTGGGGACCATGCGTAATGACAACACCCTGCTGTGAGTCTGCGGCCCCCACGGCCTCCTGGGCTTCAGAGCAAATGCTGTTTGTGAACAAAATGAGGCGGTGGAGCCGACAGTTTTCGTCAGTGAGGCCCGTGCTGACTTGGGGCTGACACTGTCCTGGAAAGTCCCGCCTTTGGTCCTCGCCGCCACACGGGGTCCTCCTCTACCTCCCAGGGCTGCCACGCACAGACCTCCCAGGGAGCCGGGACAGCGACTCCAAATCCGGCAGAGCCACCGACACCGGCTTCGCGGGCTTCCAGAATCTTCCCTCCCATCCCCTCTGACGACAGGACGTGGGGCTGGTCGGGGAAAGCATCTGTCCCTGCTGTCCCGAGGGGACATTTCACTGGACCCTGGCCCTCCTCAGCTCATGCCCGCGTTCCCGATGGAGAAGCTCCTCTCTGGCCTGGGGAAGACCAGCAGGGGCTGGAAGCTACAGGGCGGCCACCCAATCCTGGGCCCTGAGCAACACCCTGTGGCTCACTAGGCCCAAGAGGATAATTTATGGACATTGGGATCCAGACTTTGCAAGAACAAAGCTCCTTAAGATAAAGCGGGGTGAGGTTATCACCATGGGCCACCCAGGGAGGCCGGCGCTCGCTGCCCTGCCCCCTCCTCCTGAGTCCAGGCTCCTGGGTGGATCCGCTGGGCCCCAGGACAAGGCAGGACCCGCCATCTCTGTGTAAGGTCACAAGAAAACGCCCCTTCCTTTCTACTGCAGTTGCCCCCCTCCATCCCAGCATCAGGGAGTGGGCTCTAGCGGGTCTTTTCTCCCGAGGGAGCGCAGGTGTAGACGGAACATTAAAATCCCGTTGACAAGAAGCACTTACAACAGGCTGTTTGCCAGACCCAAGAACTGGCTCTGCGTGCCTGGTGCCACGCCTGTTTGGGAGATGTGACTGCCCCACTGCTGACATGACAGGGAGGCCAGTGCGAGGGCCACGCATCCCCACCGGCCCCAAAGCCGTCTGTCTGGCTTCATCCACACCTGGCCTCCGTGCTGTCCTCCTCCACAGAGACAACCTCGTCTCCCACACGGCCGCAGCAGCGAGAGGGCTGAGCCACACGCCCGCTCACACGCCCAAGCTGGAGGCACTCACCTGTAAAACGATAGGGAGCTGCTCAGGTGGGCTCCTGTTTTCCACACCCATCGTAAGCCACACCTGGAACGCGGTCAGCTGCTCGGCAAAGAACGGACTGTGCTGTGGGAGAGGCAGAGGGACGTGAGGTAGGGACCCACCTGCCTTAATTCCGCATGCCCCCCCACTGCCCTTCAATTCAGTCCCCCCTCTGCACAGCCACCACCCACTGAGAGAGCAGGGGCGGGGGTGGGGCCAGGGCAGAGCAGGGGGGGTGTCAGACCTGGGCTGCCCAGAGGAGCCCGTGGGCTGTGTGCAGACTGGACGCTGGTTGGGAGACACCTGTGAGTGGCAGGGACCACTCACAGCTCAGCCTGAGCACCAGGAGGGGGCATGAGCGGAGGTGGAGGCTGTGGGGAATCATGTCTAGGAGGAGGGTTGGCTGGGCCGTCAAATGTGATGCCTGCTGGACGCCGAGTGAAGATGTCTAGTGAGGATGGGCCATGTGGGTCCATGCTTGAGGAGAGGTCTGGGCTACAGGACCCTAGGCTGAGCCTGGAGCACCCCAAGGGTCAGAGGCCGAGGAGGTGAGGTGGAGCCGGCAAGGCCAAGGCCAGCAGGGGAGGGCAGGGGGCACCGGAGGGCTGTGCTCAAGGAGGAATGGTCGGCAGAGCCCAAGATGGGGGGACGGTCAGGCAAGACTCAGGTCTGGAACTGACTGTGCTGGGCTGAGCAACACAGGGACACTGGAGACCACCCAGAACCATCCACTTTGGCATGGGCTCAAAGTGGAAGGCAATGCAAAGACTCAAGCGCAGACAGTTCCTTGGAGGAATCTGGCTGCAGGGAGAGAAAGAACACCGTGGGCCTGCAGGGGAAGGGGACTGAGTGAAGAATTTTGGTTTAAAGATGGAGAATGGGCATATTTGTAAGCTGATGAGAGAGATTTGGGGGAGGGGGCACTGCCGGGCAGCATGGAGGCTGCGGGGGATGCCCCTGGGCCCCTGGGCGGGCTGGGATCCTGGGTGGGCAGGCCCTCAGCCTATCTGTAAGCTGCAGATCCCCAACCAGCGCAGACCAGTAAAAAACGGGTAACCGAAGAGGGAAACAATCAGGAGATGTCAGCAGGCAACTGACTAAAGGGGATCCACGAGGGACCAAGGAAGACGGGAAACTGCGAATGGCATGGACAGCCAAGGGAACAGAGACAGAGCTCAGTGAAGTTCCCTGTCAGGTCAGACGGGAGCCACCAGGGGCGGGGCGAGGGGACCCCCGGCTGAGCACGGAGAGCAGGGGGCGCCCTCACTGAGCAGGAGCAGCTCAGACTGTCTGCAGCGCCCACTGGTAAAGGCAGGACGCGGCGGGCGAGGGGGCGTTGAGGAAAGCAGGTTATAACAGCGATGCTTTAACAGGGGCATTTCCCAGAGCTGACCACTTCTAATCTAATTGACCCCCGGTGGACACCCATCTTGTTGTTACCCCTCACCGAGGATAACTTTCCATTGATTTTTAGAGAGTGGGAGGGAGGGAAGGAGGAAAGAGAGAGAGAGAAACATGTTGTGAAAGAGACACATCCATGGGCTGCCTCCTGCCTGTGCCCTGACCAGGGCCGGGGACTGAACCGACAACCAAGGTATGTGCCCTTAACGGAGAATCAAACCCGGAACCCTTGTCTGTGGGCCGACGCTCTAACCACTGAGCCGCACCAGCCAGGGCCAGGCACGCATCTTTTAAGCTGTAAGTGCAGACAGGTGCACGGCACCTCGAGTCCTGGGCATCACACCCAACAGGTGCTTTGCAGACCACGTCAGAGCGGCGGCCACGCCAGCGGTGCCTAGGGACTCACCCGGAACGCAGTGCCCTCCTCAATGATGGTGGGCAGCTGGGAGAGGCAGATGTCCACGGCGAGGTCCCAGGCTTGCCTGAGGAGAGAGCAGAGGGCACCAGGGCGTCACTGACTGGCTCCCACCAGGAACCTGGATGGAGCTGAGCAGCACTGTGCCCATGGCTGCATCTGGGCAGAACTGTGGCCCCTGGAGGAGGGCAGAGGAGCTGAAGTCATTTTGTTGGTGACATCTTTTCAAACTGAAATGAAAAAAAAGCCTTGAAACAGTCAAGGGACTCACTCCCCCCTCTAATGTCGTTTCGGTCCGACTTGAGGGTCCCTAGCACGGGGCCCGCCCACTGCACATGCTCCAGGCAGCAGCCCAGGACACTGGGTTTGTTTGTGCAGAGGCTCGGGGGAGACGGGCCGTGTGAAAGGGAGCCACCGGGCAGCTGTGTCACTCAGGTAGTGGGGAGCGATGCAGAGAAGCTGCTGGGGGCCATCGATCAAGGGGTGCAGCTGAATGAGAGGAAAGGAACTTTGTTCAGTCTTTGCAGGGGCTGGGAGGGGAGGAGGAAGGTGTAAGAGCATCTGAGACCTGCTGACAGTCACATGGGCAAACACGAGCACCAGGTGAGGGTGCAATAGCCCGGGGGGGGGG